CCCCCCCCCCCACACACACAGTGCACTTCTTCAGGTGAATGTGAAACTGCAAACATAATCACCCTCCTATGTACAACTTATAACCAATGTAAACTGGGTGGATAGACCTACTGTAAGCTAATACAGCTCATCTATTTTTACATACCCATTTGTGACTGTGGATTTTAACATTGAGTTGTAGTATCCAAAATCATACCCTGTTCATCTTTTAGTTGATGAGGTGTTTCTCCAGAGACAGACCCAGGTAGTGGTGCATTACATTAATATCAAAGCACTGATTATGAACTCGAATGATAAATCACTCTTCTTGGCTGTCTCTTATACACATCTTTCCAATGTAGATGAATGTAGGATCTATTGTTTGAATCAGCAATTGGTGAATATATTATGAAGCATAAAGCAGTAAAAACTCTTACATTATGTATTACACTAGATAAAACAGTGTCCCTGTGTTCTAAACTCATATCCTACTAACAATGTAATTTGATTTGTGTTTTAATGTCCCACTGCAATAATGTAATAATACTGACCAGAACATACATGTGTTTAACTATAGATACTGTGCGCGCTGAACCTCATCCAGATGACATAGCAGTAATCATGTATACTAGTGGATCAACAGGTGCTCCCAAAGGTGTGTTGATCTCCCATGGCAACATGGTTGCATTCCTAGCAGGTGCCTCATCAAGAATTGGCAAATATGGGTAAGCGCCTGTCATCTATATAAATATAAATAAACAAATAATAATAATAATACACCACCATTTAAATCAGCTTTGTTGGGAGGGCCACCTATTCATAGTATGTGGAAAATTTCATTTTAGCATATTTTTAAAAATTTGAATAGTGATATTTAAATTTTTCGTAAAAGTTATTAACGCTTTGTGGTAAAATTTTAATACAAATTTGCAACAATTGTAATTGTTGCATTACTTTTTTTTTTTAGAAGTAAGCTAATTGTCATCAATGACCTAAATTTTACGAAACCATGATGTAGACATTGATCATTGAATATATTGTATGTTGAGTTAATTATTGTTGCATTAAAATGAAATATAATTTTTTTAATAAAATAAATTTTGCAGACCAGAAGACACCTGTATCTGTTATTTACCTCTAGCCCACGTACTGGAACTTGCTAGTGAATTGGCATTGCTAGCAAAGGGTGTATCTATTGGCTACTCATCACCTCTGACCCTGACTGATACGTCTAGCAAAGTAAAGCGAGGCTGCAAAGGAGACATCACTGTCCTGCAACCAACGCTTATGCTAGCAGTCCCGGTAAGTGTTACATCATCCCCGTGAAGCCACAAGATATGTAGAATGTAGACCTACAGTATGATGTAGAAATTGGATGATTCATAACCTATCTGTCAACATAGTGTACTTAGAGTACAACAGTATATCTTAGTCAGCTAATCTGGTGGTAGTTGCTAAGAGCCTGGACAGGGACCTGGGCAGGGGGACCTAGACTGGGGGAATCTTCTGGAAACTAACCTATGGTCTGTAGATTCATATAAATTGCATGTTTTTACTATTCTGTCAGTTGTCTTCCTGAATTCAGCTGGCGATGGGTATCGTCAGGTGCAGCAAAAAAGGATTAGATGTGTTAAGAAAGCTCATTTAACAGATATCGTGGGAATTGGCTTCTTCCCACTTGGGACCCCTGTAGCTTGGGTCAAAAGTTCCTGGTTCAGTTAACTGCTACAAACTTCCGGGTTTTGGATAGAGGATTGAATACAAAACACAAGATATACTAACAAAGTTAGAGGCTTAGGGAATGGTCACTAGGAAAAAATACTGTTACTTGGCTGGAATTGAAACCATGAATATGGGATTGGAATTCAAAGCCGAGCACTCACACTGCGTTGTACCATGGTGGTACGACCGCCACCCCCTTAAGCGACGGAGTCGGCTGATTGTCGTTGGCGGTCTGAACGTATCGGCATTAAAAATGATACCTTGGCTTTGCGTTCTACATAGAATGACGTTGGCCAATAACTGTCGACCGCAGTGGGTGCTCAGCTTTAGCCACCAAGCTGTACCTTAACTCTTGCGTGCATGTGGTATTCTTTGCATATATCCTTGCATAAAACAAATCTGAACAAACAAAAGCATGTTGGTTCAAAGTTTTGGCTCCTGTCCTTGATCGCAAGTTCATTACTGGGCACATTTTTCGGGTCATTAGTCAAACCATTAAATCTACATTTATCTGTTTGCACAGGAGTATAGTAATATTTGTAATGCTAGAGACAAAGTGAAGAATAATTGATTGCTAAATCAATTATTATTAAATGTTAATAAACATCTTTTCTCAATCTCCAGGTGTTTAATTTCCACTCCCAACCAACCATTTTGCTTCTGTCACTTGAACAGTTCAATAAATAATGATGATTCATTGCATAGGTACAATACACATACTTCAAAAGTTTCGTAAGAAAAGTTGCATAATTCATTTCATAGCATGAAAAATATTGGTAATATCTGTGATATCACAACTAAACGATAGTGTTAACAATGCTAATTACAATAATTAAAAAATATATATTACAATTTTAAAATAAGCAAATTCGACAAATGTTATTTTTCTAGAAATTTTTAAAACTTGTAAGGAAAGAGAGATAGAAACTATGTTTAGAATATTAATTTTATGGAGTTTGTTTTTACAATGGAACATGTGATAGGAATGGGATCTCTGGTGCTTCACCCAGGAAACAATAACAAATAAGAACTATAAACATTATTTGTACAATGAAACAGAAATTGCACAATGAACATGTAAAACTGAGATTTGAAAACGGAACTAAAAGCAATGCAATTATATTTAAATAAGATAATTGTATGAAAACTAGTTGGGTCAATGTACTTAATATTCCAATTTCTTCAAATACAACTATTTTGATGTTATTAATTATAAAGAAATAAACTATCAATATTATTAAATTAGTAGTCACTGAAATTTAGAAGTTTATTTATTGGATTGAAGTGTATGTTAAGAGCAATTATACTTATGATTTAATTTCCAATGAGACTTATGATTTGATTTAAAATTAATAACAATTACAGGTAAAAAAGATATAAAATAAGCAAAATTATAAGAACAAACATTAGATGCATTAAGTCTGTAAAAAGACATATTTTCATGTACAGGCCTCCCTCTATTAAAGACACCTTAATTAAAGACCCCTCAAAGTAAAGATCACCTCCAATTAAAGCCCACTTTTCCGTGGTCCCATATATGCACAAATCTCTTTTATCTTTGTTATTCTAATTAGAGTCCAAACCTGCTAAAGACCATGCAAATCTTGGTTCCAAATGTTTCAAATCTTTAATTGGAGGGAAGCCTGTATATTTCTTGTAATTCATTCTTATTAAATAATGTTTTTTAACTGTTAAATTAATTTTAACGTAATTAGTAGCAATAACTAATTTTAATTATTTTAAAGTAATTTTAGCTGTTTAAAAGTAACTGCAAAATGAAGGATGATGTGTACCTGCTTGTTAATATTTTGCATTGATTTGCTGCTTAGATCAATAATGTGACCGAGATTTCCATGGTAGATCACTTCCTGCCCGGGGAACCCACTGTCTTGACTTTGAGCTTGACTTTGTGAGTTTGACTTTGAGTCTACATTGTAAGGGCCTTCATTCATAGTTTACCTTGAACCATAGCCTAGCGGTGTTTGAGTCATTAGGGGAGCATGCTGATAACCATGCAACCACAGGGTAATCCAGAGTTGAGACAAGCATGTTGAATCAGTATTATAACATAGCACTAGCACCCACTTGAAACAAGCCTCCAGTTATTCCCATATATTTGAAAATCTTATTAGGACTGTATGTTTCAATCTATTTTATAACATCTATGTTTGTCTTCCAATTGAATGAAACTTTAGCATAACAATTATTTTTCTAAGTAATTTTGATTTATTTGAGAAATCATAATACTTCTGATTTTATTTGAGTGAATTACTAATATATATATAAAATATTTTAATAAGCAATATTTTGCTAGGAATAATGTTTTTTTGCCCTACTATAACTGAAATGTTATCGTACTGACGTACTATTAAAGACACTAGGCTAGTTATATAGAGGTCGTGGGTTCGATTTCCATCCGAACACTTGCAATACTTCTTTTCGCAAGTATTTGGGGAATATACTGAACATTCAGTATGATAACATGTCAAGTAATGAAAAAACATTATTCTTATTTCTAATCTCCTGACGCATACACCATCGAAATACAATATTTTGCCAATATCAAATAATATGAATTTGTTATTAATAGAAACAGTATATTGCTGATCAGACCATTTGCAGGCCTGGGAAATTATATTGTGCCTCTAACAATAAAAATCATCTTCATAAAATGCCTCCAACCACAAATGTTGTCTGTGAACTATATAACCCAACAGTAATTGCCTGGAGAAACCTTTTTTCAATTCAGACCATATGGAGCGAGCCACGGATTTATACATAAAGTTATATACTGTATGTTTGGCTAATATTAATAATTAATAAGCTTTAATTTAAATGAGAGTTTCCATCAACAGTTAAGTGATGCATATATGATAATATTGTTTCTATATTTTATTTCTAGATATACTTACAGTTACAGTCTTTATGTTTAAAAACATTTTTAAAAAATTTAATGTTTAAATTGTTTTGTATATTTAAAGCCAGGATTTTGATGAAAGTAAACAATTGATATGTTATACAACTGACTTTTAAAACTTGGTTTAACATCTTGGTAGTTATATCCCTTTTTTCCTAGTTTTTAAATATTCAAAAAACTTTATCTTATTTATAATTTAACCATCCATGAGTGTTTTTGCCAAACACCCCTCACTTCAGTGTTTTATCAGGAAATCAGTTTTACAACTTAAGTGTAGCTTTCAACTGAAAATCAAAGCTTATACATGAAAGAATGACAGACAACAAATGGAAGAAATTTTATTTTATTTATTGCCTATAATTTTATCAATTGTTTAGTCTTATTGCTAATAACTGTTATGTTTTATTCTTTCCCCAGCTTATTGTTGACAGGATCTACAATGGAGTAATGGATAAAGTGCAGGCTATGGCTCCACTGCAGAAAGCATTGTTTGAATTCGCTTGTCATTATAAATCAACTCAAATTGATCGTGGATTCTCAACTCCAATTTTCGACAGGTTAGATCAAGAAACATAGAATTTTTCTCCAGCTGAGTCTCCAAATGTTAAGGGAGGGGTGCCACTAACTACAGCCAACATCGCCCAGGGTTCAGTTGGTAGAACCAGGTCTTCTTGGATAAGGACTTAAGATTGAGGTTCAGAGTAACACACCTGGCTTGTGTGTACTTCAAAGAACCCATTACATCTTTCAGAAGAGTAGGGATTACCCTAACGATGATTAATCGTGAAATCTAGATCCAGTAAATTGATGAATGAGTTTAGGTTGTACCTTATGATATTGTCAGCTTCTCATTCCTAAGATTCAGGATTCAAAGACTGTTTACACCTCCACTAAAGCTGGGTTGTAGCCTTGTCTGACAAGGACTTGAGATGGAGGTTCAGAGTAACACACCTGGCTTGTGTGTACTTCAAAGAACCCAATGCATCTTTCGGAAGAGTAGGGATTACCCTGACGATGATTAATCGTGAAATCTAGATCGAGTAAATTGATGAATGTGTTAGGTTGTACCTTATGATATTGTCAGCTTCTCATTCCTAAGATTCAGGATTCAAAGACTGTTTACACCTCCACTAAAGCTGGGTTGTAGCCTTGTCTGACAGACATGAAAGGACATGGTTTGTTTGATAAAGTGTGTCTAAAAAGTTATCATCGTAGTTGCTCAGGTACAATTCCACCTCGGGTAAAACCTCACCCCTACTTTCTACAAAATTTCACATAGTAATAATTCCTTGGTAAACAGCCTAGTATCAGAATTTGCGCAAAGCTTAGGTGGAACCGAGTTCCATAATTATACTTATTGTAATTATACTTATGAGCATTAAAGTTTCTTAATCTTCTCTTATTTTTAGGATTGTTTTTTCTAAGTTAAGCAATCTTCTTGGTGGACGTGTGCGTATTATCCTGTGTGGGGGTGCTGCACTGTCTGCTACTCTTCAACGTTTCATGCATGTGTGCTTCTGTTGTCCCATGTTGCAAGGTTATGGACTCACAGAGACTTGTGGAGGTGGAACCATTGTGCAACGTAAGTGGTTCAAAAATAATTATATTGTAAAAATAGTGTAATAATAATAATAATAATTTTATATTCATAATACAAATATGTGTGAAAATAGTAACATAATAAATAATGTATTAATTCTACTAGTAATATTAGCAATTTTTGTGAGGCATAGTCAACCCAGTTTTGATTTTCCCCCTGATTAATGCTTTCACTCATACTAACAGGTTAATTTCAGTAGTACATTCGCATTTAACAGACGATCTTCACATAAGGCGAACATGATTTAAAAATCAAAAATTTGTATGTGTTGCGCATAAGAGATGACCCCCCCCCTTTTTTCGATCATAATTTGTTATTTTAAGCATCATCTTTTACGTGAAAATCTAAATCAATGTAAATTTAATGATAATTTCTTAATTATTTCAGCTGGAGACCATACATTGGGTCATGTTGGTGCACCACTCAATTGTTGTGATATCAAACTGATAGATTGGCCAGAAGGTATGTTGTAGAGATTTAGCTGTGTAAAACATTACCATATTGATGATTAGTATTACAGTATTGTCATGTTTTTGTGTGTTTGATGTAACAATATGATTCGTATGTTTTCATTTTATATCTTCTTTTATGGACAATAAAGAAATTTTTCTTCATTATTATTATATTATTATTATATTTATTCGGTATCAAAATATATAAAAACACAATTTAAAACTTCACTTTCATACCAGTTACAAAAAATAATACATACACCAAACACTAATACAACAAACAATGAGCAATTCTAGAGATACCAGGACAGGCAAAAGTGAGAACACTTTCATCAAAGATGTGCCTGTCCAAACTAGAATAGACAAAAGTTTGTAATCAAAAGCATACAAGTGAAAAACAACAAGCAACAACAAGTTAACATAATTATCATCATTGTTTTCTTCATTATCACCATCATCGGCATCATCTTTTTCATTATGACCATCATCATCATCCTCTTTAATTTCGGAAAAATCATTATGTACAATAATTTAATAACATCTACAATGTTTTTAATGTTTTTTAGTGAATTTTAAATGTTCTTTTCTTAATTTTTATTGTTATTGATTGTAAATTGTGAGCAATTTAGCCAAGGCTACAATTCACTTTTTGTCAAATTTCTTTCCCCTTTTTGTGTTGAATAAATATGCTATGAAATAAAGAAAATGATAATAAATAAAATGATAAACACAGTAAATTTTCCCTGTCCACGACCAGGTAACTACAATGTCGCTGACAAACCAAACCCAAGAGGGGAGGTGTTGATAGGTGGAGGAAACATCACTCTGGGCTACTACAAAAACCCTCAGAAAACACAGGAAGATTTTCTGGTGGAAAAGGGCAAGCGTTGGTTTAAGACTGGTGATATTGGTGAGATGAGGCCGGACGGTACACTCAAGATTATTGGTAACACTAAATTTTTGATGTTTATTTTTTGGTAAACTTATTTATTATCAAAAAGAAATATATGTATCTGTACGGTCTTCGAAGATTGTTGTCGCACGTAGGTCAAAATACTTCAGCTCTGTCCGGATTGTCAAATTTTCATTGATATTAAAATGTTGTATGCCCATATATAGTCATCATGTCCATATATAGTCATGTGATGTCATCATGACCATATTTAGGCATGTCACATGTTTTTGTCAAATGAAATTTGATAGTCTGGACTGGGATTTAGAGAGAATTTCCTTATTTATTCACCATATTTTGAGTTGGCAACCATTGCATTTTCATTTTTTTTTTTCATTTTTTCATTTCATTTTTTCATTTCATTTGAAGTACAAGGCCCACTTGAAAATACAAAAATATGCATAATATAATATATTATAGATATTAGAAACCCTTGCATTAAGAAAATACAATCATATATAAAGAACAAGCAACAAGGACTTAAGATGGAGGTTCAGAGTAACACACCTGGCTTGTGTGTACTTCAAAGAACCCATTACATCTTTCAGAAGAGTAGGGATTACCCTGACGATGGTTAATCGTGAAATCTAGATCCAGTAAATTGATGAATGAGTTAGGTCTGTCTCTTATACACATCTAGATGTGTATAAGAGACAGGTTTACACCTCCACTAAAGCTGGGTTGTAGCCTTGTCTGACAAGGACTTAAGATGGAGGTTCAGAGTAACACACCTGGCTTGTGTGTACTTCAAAGAACCCATTACATCTTTCAGAAGAGTAGGGATTACCCTGACGATGGTTAATCGTGAAATCTAGATCCAGTAAATTGATGAATGAGTTAGGTCTGTCTCTTATACACATCTAGATGTGTATAAGAGACAGGTTTACACCTCCACTAAAGCTGGGTTGTAGCCTTGTCTGACAAGGACTTAAGATGGAGGTTCAGAGTAACACACCTGGCTTGTGTGTACTTCAAAGAACCCATTACATCTTTCAGAAGAGTAGGGATTACCCTGACGATGGTTAATCGTGAAATCTAGATCCAGTAAATTGATGAATGAGTTAGGTCTGTCTCTTATACACATCTAGATGTGTATAAGAGACAGGTTTACACCTCCACTAAAGCTGGGTTGTAGCCTTGTCTGACAAGGACTTAAGATGGAGGTTCAGAGTAACACACCTGGCTTGTGTGTACTTCAAAGAACCCATTACATCTTTCAGAAGAGTAGGGATTACCCTGACGATGGTTAATCGTGAAATCTAGATCCAGTAAATTGATGAATGAGTTAGGTCTGTCTCTTATACACATCTAGATGTGTATAAGAGACAGGTTTACACCTCCACTAAAGCTGGGTTGTAGCCTTGTCTGACAAGGACTTAAGATGGAGGTTCAGAGTAACACACCTGGCTTGTGTGTACTTCAAAGAACCCATTACATCTTTCAGAAGAGTAGGGATTACCCTGACGATGGTTAATCGTGAAATCTAGATCCAGTAAATTGATGAATGAGTTAGGTCTGTCTCTTATACACATCTAGATGTGTATAAGAGACAGGTTTACACCTCCACTAAAGCTGGGTTGTAGCCTTGTCTGACAAGGACTTAAGATGGAGGTTCAGAGTAACACACCTGGCTTGTGTGTACTTCAAAGAACCCATTACATCTTTCAGAAGAGTAGGGATTACCCTGACGATGGTTAATCGTGAAATCTAGATCCAGTAAATTGATGAATGAGTTAGGTCTGTCTCTTATACACATCTAGATGTGTATAAGAGACAGGTTTACACCTCCACTAAAGCTGGGTTGTAGCCTTGTCTGACAAGGACTTAAGATGGAGGTTCAGAGTAACACACCTGGCTTGTGTGTACTTCAAAGAACCCATTACATCTTTCAGAAGAGTAGGGATTACCCTGACGATGGTTAATCGTGAAATCTAGATCCAGTAAATTGATGAATGAGTTAGGTCTGTCTCTTATACACATCTAGATGTGTATAAGAGACAGGTTTACACCTCCACTAAAGCTGGGTTGTAGCCTTGTCTGACAAGGACTTAAGATGGAGGTTCAGAGTAACACACCTGGCTTGTGTGTACTTCAAAGAACCCATTACATCTTTCAGAAGAGTAGGGATTACCCTGACGATGGTTAATCGTGAAATCTAGATCCAGTAAATTGATGAATGAGTTAGGTCTGTCTCTTATACACATCTAGATGTGTATAAGAGACAGGTTTACACCTCCACTAAAGCTGGGTTGTAGCCTTGTCTGACAAGGACTTAAGATGGAGGTTCAGAGTAACACACCTGGCTTGTGTGTACTTCAAAGAACCCATTACATCTTTCAGAAGAGTAGGGATTACCCTGACGATGGTTAATCGTGAAATCTAGATCCAGTAAATTGATGAATGAGTTAGGTCTGTCTCTTATACACATCTAGATGTGTATAAGAGACAGGTTTACACCTCCACTAAAGCTGGGTTGTAGCCTTGTCTGACAAGGACTTAAGATGGAGGTTCAGAGTAACACACCTGGCTTGTGTGTACTTCAAAGAACCCATTACATCTTTCAGAAGAGTAGGGATTACCCTGACGATGGTTAATCGTGAAATCTAGATCCAGTAAATTGATGAATGAGTTAGGTTGTACCTTATGATATTGTCAGCTTCTCATTCCTAAGATTCAGGGTTCAAAGACTGTTTACACCTCCACTAAAGCTGGGTTGTAGCCTTGTCTGACAAGGACTTAAGATGGAGGTTCAGAGTAACCCTGGCTTGTGTGTACTTCAAAGAACCCATTGCATCTTTCGGAAGAGTAGGGATTACCCTGACGATAATTAATCGTGAAATCTAGATCCAGTAAATTGATGAATGAGTTAGGTTGTACCTTATGATATTGTCAGCTTCACATTCCTAAGATTCAGGATTCAAAGACTGTTTACACCCCCATTAAAGGTGGGTTGTAGCCTTGTCTGACAAGCATGAAAAGACATGGTTTGTTTGATAAAGTGTGTTTAAAAAGTTATCATCGTAGTTGCTCAGGTACAATCGCACCTCGAGTGAAACCTCACCCCTACTTTCTACAAAATTTCACATAGCAATAATTTTTTGGTAAACAGCTTAGTATCAGAATTTGCGCAAAGCTTAGGTGGAACCGAGTTCCATAATTATACTTATTGTAATTATACTTATGAGCATTAAAGTTTCTTATAATCTTCTCTTATCTTTAGGATTGTTTTTTCTAAGTTAAGCAATCTTCTTGGTGGACGTGTGCGTATTATCCTGTGTGGGGGTGCTGCACTCTCTGCTACTCTTCAACGTTTCATGCATGTATGCTTCTGTTGTCCCATGTTGCAAGGTTACGGACTAACAGAGACTTGTGGAGGTGGAACCATTGTGCAACGTAAGTGGTAAAAAAAAAATAACGATATTGTAAAAATAGTAATACTAATAATATTTTTATATTCATAATATAAATAGGTGTGGAAATAGATAAATAGTAAAACATAATATATAATGTATTAATTATAATAGTAATAGGAACAATCTTTTTGAGGCTTCTCTTATAGTCAACCCTGTTTTGATTTTCCCCCACATTAATTGTGTTTATCCGTACAGTTAGCAACTTCATTTCAGTAGTATATTCGCGTGTAACAGACGATCCTCACATAAGGCGAACATGATTTGAAAATCAAAAGTTTGTGTGTGTTGCAAACTCCCCCCATTTTTTGTTTTTGAAAGGCTACAGTAGCCTAATAAGCAATGTATTACAATAATTTTTCATATTTTGTATTTTGATGTTTTAATTTTTATTTCCTAATTTGGTTTTAATTTCCTTTTATTTTCTGTAATTAATATTATTCTTTGTTTAAAATTAGTTAAGTTTGATTATTATGTCTGTTACGGCATAGATTAAAAAAACACCATCGAGGGGATCAATTGTTTACTGTGGTAAAATAAAGTTTTTATTATTATTATTATTATTTATTATTATTATTATTATTATTATTATTATCATTATCATTATCATTATCATTATCATTATTATTATTATTATTATTATTATTATTATTATTATTATTATTATTATAAATTAATGTAAATTTAATAATTGTTTCTTAATTATTTCAGCTGGAGACCATACATTGGGTCATGTTGGTGCTCCACTCAATTGTTGTGATATCAAACTGATAGATTGGCCAGAAGGTATGTTGTAGAGATTTAGCTGTGTTAAACATTATCATATTGATGATTATTATTACAGTATTGTCATTTCTTCATTATCATTATTATTATATAATTATTATATTTATTCGGTATCAAAATATATAAAAACATACAATTTAAGACTTCACTTTCATACAAGTTACAAAAAATAATACATACACCAACCATACAACAAATAATGAGCAATTCTAGAGATACCAGGACAGGCAAAAGTGAAAACACTATCATCAAAGATGTGCCTGTCCAAACAAGGTAATTTAACAAAAGGACGCACATCTCGGGACATCAAAGGTTATAACTCTGGCATCGACATTCTAGGCGCACGTGCGTCCCTACACGCTGAACGTCACAAATACCATAGCAACCAGACCATTAACCGTCAGCGTACGGGACGATTTACCCACGCGCGTGTTAGTTGCCATGTTAGTCGCGCGTCGTGCGGTGATTACAATGATATTTATGATATTTTGCACTAACATTAGACTGAAATATATTCTTCATTTCAACATTAATTTTACCAAAATTGTGGTGAATTGTCGTTCATGAGACTCACTTCGCAGAAAAAATTAATAAATCTTCCGTATATACTCAAATGTTCGTCCTCGGCACCTTATGCCCTGTCTCTTATACACATCTAGATGTGTATAAGAGACAGGTACGCACACGCTATGTTCGAGAGCGGAGATGTGCGTCCTTTTGTTGAATTACCTTGATCCAAACTAGAATTTACAAAAGTTCTTAATCAAAAGCATACAAGTGAAAACAACAAGCAACAACAATTTAACATAATTATCATCATTGTTTTTTCATCATCACCATCATCAGCATCATCTTTTTCATTATGACCATCATCATCATCATCATCCTCTTTAATTTCGGAAAAATGATAAACACAGTAAATTTTCCCTGTTAACCCCCAGGTAACTACAATGTTGCTGACAAACCAAACCCAAGAGGGGAGGTGTTGATAGGTGGAGGAAACATCACAATGGGCTACTACAAGAACCCTCAGAAAACACAGGAAGATTTTCTGGTGGAAAATGGCAAGCGTTGGTTTAAGACTGGTGATATTGGTGAGATGAGGCCGGACGGTACACTCAAGATTATTGGTAAGACTAAATTTTGACATTATTGATATTTATTTTTTTGTATATTTATTTATTATCAAAAAAATATATCTATCTGTATGATCTCGTGCAAACACCTTCTAAGGTTGTTGTCGCACGTAGGTAAAAAAACTTCAGCTCTGTCCAACTATAAAATTTTCTTTGACATAAAACTGTTGTATGCCCATATATAGTCATCATGTCCATATATAGTTATGTGATGTCATGTTAGGCATGTCATATGTTTTTGTCAAATGAAATTTGATAGTCTGGACTGGGATTTAGAGAGAATTTCATTATTTATTTACCATATTTTGAGTTGGCAACAATTGCAGTACAAGTCTGAAGTACAAGGCCCACTTGAAAATACAAAAATATGCATAGTATAATGTATTATAGATTTTAAAAACCCTTGCATTAAGAAAATACAATCATATATAAAGAACAAGCAATCATGCAAAAAACAACAAGGATAACCCACGGAAGTCCAAAGAAATAATTATAGTGGTGAATTGAATAGTACACAGAGAGATCCTCGTTTTTGAAGCATGTACTGTGTACTTTAATGTGCATATTGCCAGTTGCACACACAACCAATAACTTCCTCTTATCGTGTCCACGGTGTGGTGGTGGTGGTAGAATTGGCTTTACCCAGGGCCGCAACGGGGACGCCAACAACTTACAGTAACTGTGTGATTCGAAAAAATTATGCGCTATTTCAGCCCTCCAGCTAAAGACATGGAGAGTAGTGGATGGACTTGAACCACAACCAAGATTTTGAAGGATCCCCACAGTTAAGCCTACACATAATGGCTATCAGCAATTTAGCTATTCCAATATATTAATCAAATATATTTTACAAACGTAATACTATTTTTTTTTTAAATTTGTAAAATGATTAAATTTTCAAGTTTATTAGCTGAATATCTTTAAATAAGAAATGCATACATACAAATATGCAAGGTCTAATCTTTGGTTAAATGCATAATGTTGAAAGACAAAGAACGTTATTGATGATGATAATAATTGCATTATATTAGTAATATTTTAATCAACCAGTCACCATTGTTGATATAATTTAATTTTGTTTTTAGATCGTAAAAAGGATTTGGTGAAATTACAAACTGGCGAGTACGTGTCGCTTGGCAATGTGGAATCTACACTCAAGAAATGCCCCCTGGTCGAGAATGCGTGCGTGTATGCTGATGGTGACTTCACCTACTGTGTCGCCCTCGTCATTCCCTACAGGAAAAACCTTGAGGTTGGTTTCTTCTCTACAGTGAACCTTTCCACTAAGCCCCAGCCCTTGGATATTATTGTTAAAGTTCCACAAAACGACAGTATTAGAATATATGCAAACGTGTCCGTTATTGGGACGACACACATTACCATGTATTGAAAGTGTATATTCATTATAAAGAAAGAATAAGTAAATAAATAATTAATTTGTTAGTCACTCTTAACTCTTTATTTGTCCTGGGAATTTGGTTTAAGTGTGCTCAATATATTCTATATACCGTACACAATGCACCTTTCTGGAGTGTCAATCAAACGTAACAATCGACCAATCAAAACAGGGCCAAGAATATGCATGTGTTTCACAGGCATACATGTTGCCCCGCAAATGCATGTTATCCCACAAACGCATGTTGTCCCATAAACGCATGTTGTCCCACAAACGCATGTTATCCCACAAACGCATGTTGTCCCACAAACGCATGTTGTCCCACAAACGCATGTTGTCCCACAAATGCATGTTGTCCCACAAACGCATGTTGTCCCACAAACGCATGTTGTCCCACAAACGCATGTTGTCCCACAAACGCATGTTGTCCCACAAACGCATGTTGTCCCACAAACGCATGTTGACAAACGCATGTTGTCCCGCAAACGCATGTTGTCCCGCAAACGCATGTTGTCCCACAAACACATGTTGTCCCACAAACGCATGTTGTCCCACAAACGCATGTTGCCCCACAAACGCATGTTGCCCCACAAACGCATGTTGCCCCACAAACGCATGTTGCCCCACAAATGCATGTTTGCTTAATTTTTAAAACTCTTTGGACCTTAGAAACATTATCCAAGGGGTGGAGCTTAGTGGAAAGGTCAATTAGTGCTCCAGAGATTTCCAAGTTTTATGAATTTGCAGGTATTTTACTTATTTTTACTCAACCAAAAGCCCAGAAATGCATTTTCTGCCAATTTAGGATAGTACTTTTACAAAAATAAATCTGTTACAATTGTGCAATTTTTTTAAAGAGTAAATCACAGTTACATGATGATTCATGCATGTGGCAGTGCATATGTTGTCTTTGATTTTATCTAACAACAGGGCTTGGTAAAAAGCAACAGTATATCGATACTGTTAATGCAGCTAGTTTATTCAAAAGTTAAAAATGATGTTTAAGATAAACCGGAGGGAGTTTTTATATATTTTGTAAAATGCAAATATTTAGTTTTAATTTTTTTTAAATTTATTTGGTATAAATACTTAGGAACAACAAAAATGCTGATGTAATTTACAGTACATTGAATTATTATAATTATAATAATTACAAATACAAAATTTCTTATACAGGTCTCCCTCCAATCAAAGACCACTTTTGGGACCGGGGCTTCCATGGTCCTTAGCAGCTTTGGTCTCTCATTAGAATAATAAAGATAAAAGAAATTTAATTTGGGACCACAGAAAAGTGGTCTTTAATTGGAGATGGTCCTTCTTTGGAGGGAGACCTGTAATTTGATAAATAAAATATACAATGTAAATATTATTTGGTGTCATGATATTTGCTTTGTTTCAGGCAATGGCTGATACTATGGGCCTCTCTAGCATGGATTGGGAAGACCTATGCCATGATCAATCTATAACAAAAGAAGTTTTAAAAGCGATACAACAGACTGCAAAGGGCGGTGAGTAAATATTTAACAGTCATCGCAATCTATTTAGTTATTATATTCCTTGAAAAACCATTTTGAAATTTTGAGCAGTGCCTTGTCCATGTTGAAAGGCAATCAACATAAACAAACATTAACACACATAACATAGGCCAGTCCTAGCAGCTAGTTGGCGCAGCCTTCAGAATTGTATGAAAATAGTGAACTGTGTGATACATAGTTAGAAGAATACTTGCATCATACATCTAATATTTATTCTAAATATGAAGAACTGTGATTATTACTGTGTATTTTATATTTGTTTGTTGAGGACCCCTTAATATCAGCTCTCCATTAATTGTGAGCTGCACAGGTTATCCTCATTAAATAAAGTTCAAATAAATAAACTGTTATGTAATAGCTTTCCAAAAATTCAGACGATTCAAGATTCCTTGCCAAATTGGAAGCCTATGTTGTTATAAAGTAATTGTTTATGTTGATTGAACTTCAATACGGGCATGCTCTATTCAAACCACAAAGTGAGACTACAATTGACATTGATGGAGAATTGACCAGTGTAGTTGGACCTACATTGTGATAGTAGTCTTATGGACGGGAGACTAAGCACAGCCCTTCTGACCAGTAGCAGCGCCAGCTGGTGGTGACGGCCTAGTGGTACAGCCCAAGTTCCTGTCAAACAAATTTCTTGATTTTTCAAAAAGATTGGGCCATAATTACAAATGTAGGACTTAAGCCACCCCTTTCAAAAGCCACCCATCAATGGAGTATACCATTGTAAGGTTGGGGTGCACAATGGGTTGTTTGTCTCTACAATAGGTTTTGGCTTCTAGGAATTGTTTGTATCAGACCTCCACTATTTTATTCTTTTGTGTATTATGAATTAGAAACTGGGAGTAGCCTAGATTAGGCATAAACACTCAGTATTCAGATTTCCGTAATTATGTGCTGTACATCTCCGAACAGCTTAAAATAGCCCAAAATTTTCCAGCTTTTGTAGGCGCGAGTGTTAAAAAGCCCTGTCAAATATTTTCCACTCGCTGATCAGCTTAGTCCCCACGTTGTTCTTTGCAAATGAATAAACTAATTGAATTGATTGATTTACAGATAAACTACAGAAGTTTGAAATTCCCACCCAAATAAAACTCTGTTCTGAAATGTGGACGCCAGACTCTGGGCTTGTCACAGATGCCTTCAAACTCAAGCGTCGCCCTCTAGCTGACTTCTACCAACGAGATATCAAGAAAATGTATGGGAAGTAAAATAATTACACTTTATTGTAAGACATATGAGGCTTGCCATTTCAAAACCAGCGTACTGTCGCTAATTGTTATAATTAGCATACAAATGTTGGCGGTATTGTATACTTTAGTGCAGAGAAGTAATAATACTTTTACTCATAACGTTGATATAATTAGTCGATTCCAGTAAATGACCCATCATTTTACTGCTTACAATGTTGAGAATAAGAATTTATATTAAAAAGTGAATTTTCATTTTTTTGTTGCTGATACTGGTTTTGGATGGTAAACTCCAAATATGTGATTGCTGGATACTGTAAATATGAAATGCAAGAGACATTGTGAACGATTTAAGGTTGAGTAAACTGGCTGTTTATGTTCTAAAACTTAGTATATTTTCAGATAGGGTGGTAAATAAAAAAGTTTAATTGATGATGTAAATTGTACTGAAAGTTGTTTACATTTGATTGTCGCAACGCAGCTAGTAAAGCTTGGTTTCCATAAAATCGCTACACACTATCGCTGACAGATTTCGGCGGTGCTAATTGCGTCAGCGCTAATTGCGTCAGGGACAGCTACGCAGTGTAGCGATAGCAGTGAAATTGCTGTAGCTACATTGTAGCGATTTTTATGGACACCAGGCTTACAAGCAATTAGTAAACTATATTTCAACCACTATTAAAAAATTAGTGCCTAACGGAACCACTAGTGCATGAAAATAATTTACCTGATGATGTTTCGATTGTTTGTGATGTGCTCTGTATAAAAGTGTACTATTCATAACTGCCACAGGTAGAGGTTAACTCTTCCTTTTAATCAATCCAGGTTCGAGTGGTTATCTTGTAGAAAATTTTGTGAAAACTTTATAAAGGAAAATAATAAAATGTAAAAAATAATAATAATATTAAACATCAATATTGAATAGTAGGCCTATTTGATGAATACTTGTATGAAATGACATTAATATTCCTATATGAATATACCACCGTTTAAAATAATAAGAAAATAAAAATAAAATTACGTTAAAAGCTAGCCTCTGCATTTGTATCCGAGCATTTACCAACTAAATTGGGACAGATACAGATTTAATAGTATAAGCAGATCTTAAGAAAATATTTTCTGTACCTTTGATGTTTGACATATGTTGACATATTCTTTGTACTGTACCTGTGTGAAACTCTAGCATGGTGGGTTTGATTGATTCTATATTTAGTCTGTAAAGACTTCAATATATTTTGAAAGCACAGGATAATCAATACGCTAATGAATAAATTATAATGATCCATAATAATCCGTTTATATCAAACAAAACAGGGAGTATTATAATATAGTACATTTAACACATGGTTCTCACAAAATAAAATATTAATGGGCCAAGTGCTAAATATTACCAGGACTGTATTTTACTAAGATACAGTCGTCGTTACGTGAGTGAATATAAACGATGGTAAAAATTGAGGAAATTTTTATGCAGGAAGCTGTGAAGATGCCACATAGTGACTATAAGCTGCACCCAATGAGCATACATAATGATCCCTGCTAAATAATTTTGGAGTGTTAAACTTACTCAGGCTTCTGCGATGTTTGTTTTTCTTGCATAGATATTATACACAGATAGTCATTCACACGGACATTTAGCAGGGTACCTGTGACATGGTTTACTTGCATAAATTGGGTATAGAAACGACACCAGCTATTGAGCACTTGTTAGCGTTCCACTTTCACCTGAAGAAAAGCACTGTGTGCTTGCCAGGCTGGTCTCTTGTGAACTAATCTGATAAATAGTCTATTAAACTACTACCTAGTGGCAGAGTCAAAGAAGGGGGGCAGCCAGCCCGCCACCCTAAATTTGTTGAAAATTTGTTTTAATGGAGAAAAAAGGAAAATTATTTTCAAATGTTAAGGCTGAGAGTGCCATTTCCGACCATCTAGACATGCCATAATCATAAATTTGTTACTCGGCCCCAACCATGATTGGGCTAAGGTAGCCCTTCTGTCTGTGGAAGTCCTTCCATGAGGCCACTGTATTTCAAATTCCTTGATCTGCCACTGCTACCTGTATCGTAATATCTGCTATTAATTCAGATACCTAAAGATACATGACCATGTGTATCTAATAAGCCTGGCAATAATAATACATTGAAATGATGGCTGTGTATATATTTTTCAATGTTATTGTTAGTATATTCCCACTGGAAAAACAAATTCTTTGCCAATTAAAATCTAAATAAATCACATACTCAGTCTTTGTACATACCTTTAAATTTCTGCCAGCAAAAGAATTTCATAGTAAAATGCCTGTAAATCATTAATCTGATTGTGTGATTATTATGCGAGCAATTTGTATTTTTGAGGTTCTGACTTTTTTTGGGGAGGTTGTAGATCTTAAAGGGTAAATTAAATGCATCTTTTTCTTGTTTGTTCAGTTGGTTATTAATTACTATTTCATAAGAAAATGCTTATGATATGTTATAATTGGTTATATTAATTATAATTGCTTGTGTTGCCAAATCATATGCTTATAAAACACATACTTCTAGATAAAAATACACAAAACAAAAAATGAATATAAACAAAAAGTTAAAAAATGACACACTTTTTAAAGCAATTAAACAAAAATTATATTTGCTATACAGTAACGTTCTTAGAAAGTTTGAAAACCTAAACATTTTTATAAAACAATAAAAAGATAAATATAAACATAATGTTTTTGACTGCACAATTAAAACATTGAATTAACAGAGTTTGAATATTACAACATCCATAAATCAAAATTAAGTGTTACCTGCTGAATTATAATTTAAAATTAAAAAAATGTCACAACACTAATTATATTTAACATTAAAACAATGTAACTACATCATAAATACTCATACATCAAAAAAACAAAAAAAACAAAAAAACACCACCAAACATAAAATGATATTAAAGACACTTGCTATTCTGTCAACAAACCCATCTACAGATTCTGTCCAAACAATTATATATGCAGGGTCCCAAGTCTCTCACAGGTTGCAGGAGTCTCCCGGAAATCCAATTGCTTCCCGCACTCAGACAAGATTTTCCCAAAGAATAATTCATCTCTCGCAAATTAATGAAATCTGCATGTTTTTACTACTGTATTACGCATAACAAAATCAGATGTGCTAAGAAAGCTTGTTTAAACACAGGGGCAGATCCAGAGATGTCCAAAAGGGGAGCTGATCGAGATAATACTACCCTAGGGGGTCAGGGGGCATGCCCCCGCGAAATTGTGTTGTAGACGCCCGAAAATAACCTCTGATGCGTTTTGGCCCATCCATTTTTTTCTTTTTCTTTCTTTAAAAATTTTTTTTTACCTTCCAAACGGTCGTGCCCCCTCCGCCCCTGTTAATCAGATCTCCCAGAAATTACTTCTTCCAACTTGGGACCCCTGCATATGGAGTACAGAGTTGGTCATGTGATGTACTGTGTGTGTGAACATACATACACCCACCGATACATAGAGTACAGTACATGGACACAGGCATTCATTTATGCATGTTCAAGAAGTTTAAAAAATTCTTCTTCAGTATTATACTGTACTTCATTGTTAAGTATTATACTTCAGTAAGTTGTCGCTGGGAATCTGGTTGAGACAATAATCAGGGCCTTTTAATTGAAGCTCGACCATGCCCACTTTGCTTTCATCGAGAAATCTGACCCCTCGTCGGGACATCCGACCCCCGTTAGGGACCTCGCTCCTCTTGGCGCCACCCCTGACAACAGTCCAGTTAATTTTGTTTCTGTGGGGTTGGCTGACCCTGAGAGTTTTTTTTAAATCTTTCTCCACACTGTCAAATGACATCACCATGCCCATATATTATGGGCACATTAATTGAATTTGTCACATAACATGTGAGTGTGGACACTTCTTTAGTAAAGTCACATACCAGTCTACCTGATTGCACTTGATGTTGTGCCTGTCTGCTTTTCACAGCAACAGCATACCTGCTTTAGTGTCTGTATTTGTTATCGGTGTGTAGAAACAATTTGTAATAGCGCCTTATAAATTGATATTGCTCGAAATTAATGGTGCCAGTGGTTGTACATAAGCTGAACTTAAAGTATATAGCTGAACATAAGTAGTAAAAATGTGACCTTCTTTGTTGCCAAGGTGTTTGATTGTTTCTGCAAATACTGTACCTTGAAGATGCTGTTATTTTACTATGGAATGATTTTGGTAAGCATGTTTTTGAGCAACCGGGAAATTAATTGATTTTTTAAAATTAAATTTGTTTCTGATTTTCGCTTAAGTGACAGTATCAGAAGTTCACATCATGGCTGTATTACGCCAGGACAAATATCTTGGTTTATTTACCTTTTAACCAATCATATTACTGATATTGATTATTCATCAACGGCGAGCATTTCAGGATGATTACATTTTAAACCAGCAGAGGATTTTTATGCTGGGCCTAGCATTATAATGTGAACATGTGGTACTGTCTCTTATCAAAGAGTATAAAACTGCAAGAGGTCCAACTGCCGGGGATTCTTTGGAACGCAATCCTATTTCAAAAAGTATTACCCAAAAGGGGCGTGGCCCTTAAAAGAACGTAAAGTGCGTTCATATTGAATGCGTGCTGCGTGTCTAGAATGTATGCTAGAATTCGAAACGCAGCACACGATACGAACGCATTTTACGTTCTTATGAAGGACACGCCCCTTCGTGGGAGTACTTTTTTTTTGCCTGTGTACAAAATAAGGGCAGTCGGACCTCTTGCAGTTTTATACTCTTTGCTCTTATGTAAACATTTATTTTGTTTGTATAAAAAATGTTCTGTTCAGATAAAATCTGTTACAAAAATTGTAATTATTTAAAATATTGAAATCAGGGTACCATTAAAAATTGAGTTTTGTTTCAGAAATTTGAATTAAAACAATTTGGTTCAATGATATCATGTGTGTACATTGTATTACTTTACATTTATCTATTAATATTTGTTATCCTAGAAGGTCGGCTGATATTCATGAGCCCTCTTCGTAAATTATTAAAATAATGTGGTGCTTCATAAATTACAAGGCTTAGGGAGTGGAGATTTCTGTTCTGTCACATAATTTCAACCCAGCACCCTGGTATTTGAAGGCAAGCATCTTAACCACTAAGCTCCATTACGATGATTATCAAGGAAGATCAGGTAATAATTTGGAGCTAATTACCAGATTTGCTCAGAAATGATATTTGAGGTTCACTGTTTTTCCAAAAGGCATTTTAGTTATTCAGTTCAGTGTTATTTGGTCACTGTACTTTCATTTCAGCATCCAACAACCGCAATCCTTCCTTTTACCTTAGGCAGTAAAAACATAGTCTGCTATTTTGTTATATTTATGCATAAATGTGATTTTACTGAAATGATATTTCCGCAGCATTTTTATCCATTTCCCTACATCCATAATTGGGCCAAATTTCCATAGTAACTACACAGAGTGTTGTAGAACTCTGAATATAAATGAGAAATAAGCACCAACTATGATCCATATTATTGTAATCTTGCATTCTGTCAAGTTTTAAAATAATCATGGGGTACCAACTATGATCATTATTATAATCTTGCATTCTGCTCAGGTTTAAAATATCAGACTCATGAAATAAATAAATTCACCTATGACGTTGGCGGTAGTGACAAAGAATGACTCAATATTCTGGCCCAAAACCAGAAATAGTATGGATGGGGGTTTAAGCTAATCACAGGATCCCTTAAGGAAATGAGAGCTCCACCAAAATGGAATTAATAAATGAGTCAAGTGGTGCAATATATGTAGGAGTAGTTTTGTGCAGCAGCTGTGTTTCTGTTTCTCAATCTTGAGGTCGGAGATTTTGTGTTTTGCTTAAGCCACTTTTCGGTGGACGGTTGTGTTTGCAGACGTACAGATGCGCATTGGAAATTGACTGCAGTGAGTGGCGTAGCCACAGTACCATTGCTTGCTTGCACAACACATCCAAATTTTGCTCTAGTGTGAACCTACCTTTACACTCTGTCTACACTATAAAATTTTATGCGACAAATTTGTGATGTGCCCATATATGGGCATGATGATGTCATATTACACCCATGTATGGGCATGTAATGTGCAAGACAAATTATATGCAAGATGATGTCATATTACACCAAATATAGTCATATCACATGTAACAAAATTAAAGAAATGCATATTATTGTCTTTAGTATCAGTTTATTTCACAGACATCACTTGGAAAGATTCTTTACACTGCACACACAGACTGGACAGAGAGAAGAGGGGGGAACAGGAGACCAAACTTGGGAGGGGGTACAAAGACAAATGCCTTGTAACAGCTAGCTAGAACACTTCAAAAATTAGCAATATATTTTCAATTATTACATATTTTCAAACCCTTTCCCCAATCAGAAACCATATCGATGGTTCCAGAAATGAGAGTTGGTGGCGCTATCTTTCTTCTTCAAACTATGTTAATACCTAATACTGTATCATATTTACAACATTTTCTTTTCAGTGACAAAATCGTTTTAATCTTCTGTTTTCTTATCAATCTAGTGAATGATAACATATTATTCTATCTATTTACACTTAAACAAGAAATTTGAAAATTCATAACATTTGCATAACTTAAAAAAATCATACAAGACCAAAATAAAAAAAACAAAAAACATACAGAATAAACTCACAATATGCACAAATACTGTTCAACTCAAATGGTTAAATTTGGATTTGTAATAAAATAATTAAAAAATTGACTCACTGAACAATAACAATGTACCATATATATGTATATATATATCTATATAATTAATGAAAATCATTTAAATTAACTGATTAAAACTTGAGAGCTAATAATCCTGTGGATTAACCAACTAACCAGCTTTCAATACTAAAGATTTGAAATGTCCTAGCAACATTTTCTAGCAAACGCCATTGAATCATCGATTGCTCGCAAAGAGCGGGGATGGATCTATCGGCTCCTTGGGATAAGTCATTTACCGTACTTGCTAGCAAAACAGACCTACGTGAATATGTGAATACGACTACAGCAGATTATTCAGCTCATCCATCTGCCTTATCGCAGTAGTAGTCATTACAGAGAAAAAAAGTGCTATCCTAATTTCTTTAAATATAAACTACACAAAATGAGTACGTGCACTTTCAAAGCTCCATCCACACTATCAATTTTCTTTGACAATAAACTGCCCTATAGGCATGATATGCCTATAGGGGCAGATCCAGTATTTGAAAGAGAGAGAGAGAGAGAGAGAGAG